CCATTGTATTCCCTATTATCATGTATGGATGTGAGAGCTGGGCAGTTATGAAACATGATAGGAAGAAAATCAATTCCTTTGAGATGTGGTGCTGGAGAAGAGTAATAAGGATCCCATGGACAGTCAAAAGGACAAACAAATGGATCCTACATCAGATCAAGCCGGAAACCTCCCTGGAAGCCAAGATGACCAAACTGAGGCTGTCGTACTTTGGACACATCATGAGAAGGGAGAACTCTTTGGAAAAGACAATAATGCTGGGGAAGGTGAGGGGAAGTAGGAAGAGAGAAAGGTCACACGCTTAATGGGCGGACTCAAGCTCAGGAGGTCACATTTATGGGGCTGCAGGAATTAAGCAGATCAGTAGAAGACAGAGGGCCTTGGAGATGTCTCATCCATAGAGTCATCATAAGTCAAGATCAACTCGAGGGTAGTTAACAACAACAAAGAGAGCCATAATGGTGTAGTGGTTTGAGTGCTGGACTATGGTTCTGGAGGCCAGAGTTCAAATGCCTGTTTGGCTATGGAAAACCACTGGGTGCCCTAGAGTGAGTCACACACTCTCAGCCTCAGAGGAAGGCATAGATAAACCTCCTCTGAACAAATATTTCCAAGAAAACCCTAGTTGCCATAGGTCTAGAGCGACTCAGGGTCAGTTAACAACAACAAAAAAATGGAACCTTGAAATATATTTAGAAATGCCAAATCTGATCTCTGTCTGACTGGTAATTCTGCAAATTTGTACCTGTATTTTTTCCAAAAAACAAATTCTGATCTTTGCACAGTCCCATGACATGTGCAAGTAAATACCAGTAACTTAATATTCCTGCCAACAGGACCTTGAATTATTTGTTATTATATGAGTCAGTCTCACTGTGGTAAGATACTGTCTATATAAAAGTTTTAAAAAGCTTTTTCTGTTTCTTGCTTAAAGTGGTTTCATTGGGAACTGTTTCCTTAATTTTGACTAATCATTGTTTGAAACTGAAATATTTATGTCATGTTCCTGTGATCCTTTTAGCCCTTTAATTATATGATTACTATGTGAAATTAGCAGTCAATAAATTAAGGATACCAGAGCTTTGGAATTTTAAGGTCTTAAATTGTATGTGCTATGTTCACTAGATATGAATATTTATGTATAAGACAGGGAAGCTGTCTGTTGCTAGAGTTTGCACAAATGGTGAAGAGAACATAATGTACAGGTAGGGTGGAGGCCTGGACCCTGTTCATCTCAAAAAGTCAACCCTTATTCTGAAAGTGCAAACTGGAAATTGAACTGCAAACTTGCCCCTTTCTTCTAATAAGGAAATTATGGCATTGATTGAGTGCAATCAGGGTTTAACTGTCTTGTTTACCACCACAGAATAGAGACCTGCTAAACTGGCTAAGACTGGAACATCCCCTCCCCCATTGTGAGGTATCCTGCTGGTTTCAGAGATGTTGGGAAACCATCCTGGATTTGAAGAGAGTAAATATCTATGCTCAATAGAGAGAAAAAAGAACATAATACACAAACAAGAAGAAATAAAAAGACACTGGAGGCAATACACAGAAGAATTATACAAAGAGACGAGGGAATGAATGACATTTGGAATTAGGAGCCATATGAAGACAAACCCCAAATTCCAAGAAGTGAAGTGGAATCTGCAATAAAGGAAATGGAAAAAAATAAATCACTGGAATCAGATGATTTCCCAACTGAACTGCTACAATGCCCACAGACAGATGCAAGTTTAGTGCTAACTGAAATATACCAAAAATATGGAAAACAATGAGGTGGCCAACAGACTGGAAACACTTGATATGCATACCAATCCACAAGAAAGGAGATACAAAAGTCTGCAGTAACTATAGGACAATAGCACAATCTCACATGCAAGCAAAATATTGCTCAAAATTCTGCAGCATAGACTCCAACCGTACATGGAAAGAGAAATTCCAGAGGTACAAGCAGGATTCAGAAAAGGAAGGGACACTAGGGACCACATACGATGGCTAATTAAATTCACCAAAGAATCCCAAAAAGGAATCAGCATGTGTTTCATAGACTCCAGCAAAGCATTTGATTGTATAGATCACAAAAAGCTATGGGACACATTCAAAGACATGGGGGTGCCACTACATCTGATAGTCCTGATGAGGAATCTGTATCAAAAACAAGAGGCCACCATTAGAACAGAATAGGCAAAGGGGTCAGACACCCTACTTGTTTAACTTATATGATGAAAACATCATAAGAAAAGCAGAATTAGAATCAGAAAAAGGAAGTATTAAGATAGGAGGAAGCAACATTAATAAGCTAAGATACGTGGACAACACCATAATATTAGCAGAAGACATTAGGAATTGGAATGGTTAATAAGAAAGGTCAAAGATGAACGTGCAAAGGTAGGTCTGATGCTGAACGTAAAGAAAACAAAGATAATGACCACAGAAGAAATATACAAGTTCAATCTAGAGAATGTGGAAAATGAAATAAAGAATTCCCATATCTAGGATCAAACATTGATCAGAATGGAGACTGCAGGCAAGAAATAAGAGGAAGACTAGATATGGGAATGGCAGCTATGAAAGAACTGGAAAAGATACTGAAGAGCAAAGACATACAACTGAGCACTAAAGTCAGAATCGTCCATTTTATCATTACATTAAGATGTAATGATAAAATGGGCTAAAGATATAGGGTATTTGATACAAATGACTCAGTGGGGAAGAATCTGGAAGAAAGGACTGAAATATACAGCATCACAAGGGCTAAGAGAAAATTGGTACAAAATGTTTTATAGATGGTACCTATCTCCAGATAAGATAGCTAAGATGTATGAAAGGTTAACAATGAATGTTGGAAATGCAAGGAGTCACCCCGAACCTTTTTTCACTGTTGGTGGAAATGTAAAAAGTCTGCTGAATATTGGAATATGATTAGAAATATAATCAATGAGATTCTAGAGAAAGAAATAGAAAAGAAACCTGAAATTTATCTGTTAAAAATAATAGAGGACAATCTGGGGAAAAAAATGGGAAAGTATTATTTTATTTACTTACTATGGCTAGAATCGCATATGCCCAAAACTGGAAAGAAAAAAAAAGGATATACCTACAATAAAAGACTGGATGTGAAAATTGTATGATATGATGAAACTAACCCAGTTACTGGAGGATAACACATTGAGGATTTTTTATAAAGATTGGGAATTGGTTATTAAATATGTAAGAGAACAATGGAGCAATTTAGCAATTTTAAGTTTGTTAGAAAAAGAAAATAATATGAAATAATGAAATATAATGAAACTTAATATAATCAAATAAAAAGTAAGATAGTAGAAGGGGAAAAAGAAGATGTAAAGGGAAAGTTGAAGTTTAAGGAATTATATTATATGGGAGGTTACAGTAGATTGATTTGGTGAATAAGTAAATAAGATAAAGGATTCAAATGAAAGAATAAGAGTGATTTTAGAATAGAACCAATAGGGAGAAAGGATAGTAGTAAAGAAGTTTATTAAATTGGTATTAAGAAGGACATGGAATGGTGTTAAAAATTGAAAGAAATCAGCTGTGAGGAAGTTATGAGTGATAGAGAGAAGTGAAGGTGAATAAGGAGGTTATAGAAGGTAGATGATAGTAAGAGTATGTTGAGGAAGGGTTGAATGAGTGGAGGAGTGGGGATGAGGAAGGAGAGGAGGAGGTAGAGAAGAGGGGGAATTGGAAGGAGAAGGAGAATAGAGATGGTAGAAGGAGGGAGGAAGAAGGAAAAGGGGAGGAGTAAAAGGTTTACTTGGTGGGAAAGGATGTTTATAATTGTAAGATGGTATGTATTGTTAATTGACTGATTTATTTATTAATTGTATGGAAGTTTGATGTTTTGGATAATAAATACATTATTATCCAAATAGAATTGTCCAGGCCACTGTATTCCCAATTTCCATGTACAGATGCAAGAGGTAAACAGTGAAGAAAGCAGACAGAAATAAAATCAACTCATTCAAAACATGGTGCTGGAGAAGAGTGCTAAAGATCCCATGGACAGCCAAGAAGACAAACAAACAGGTTCTTGAACAGATCAGATCAGGGCTCTCCTTGGAAGCTAAAATGATCAAGTTGAGAGTATCATACTTTGGCCACATCATAAGAAGGCATGGATCACTAGAAGAAACACTGATGCTAGGAAAGGTAAAGGGTAGAAGAAAGAAAGGTAGACCACAAACCTGAAGGATAGACCCAATCAGGCGAGTTATGGGCAAGGGCTTGCAGGATCTGGGTAAGGCAGTGGAGGACAGGGACTCTTGGAGGTGTCTCGTCCACAGGGTTGCCATGTGCCATGTGTCAGAACTGACTCAAGGGCAGCTAGCAACAACAGCAACAACAAAATATCTATTCTTATTGGCTTTGTCCTATGTTTGCAACCCCATTGTTCAATCCTGCCCAGACCACTTAAGAGTCATTATCAGTACCTAAAGGGCATGTTCATCTTTTAAAGTTTTTGTAACAATACTGAGGTAATGTTTTGCCCCACACATAGTTGTTGCCTTCATTCTTAGGAGACCACCCACAAGTTAGGGGGAGATTAAACTAAAGAGACAGAGAGAATTCCTCCCCTTTTTTCTTAACCTGCTCTCCATTCTTAGACCTGTTTCCCTCTCTCTGAGGCTTGCTTTCCTTCTCCAGTCATCTTCAAGTCAGAGGGTGAAAAAAATCCATTTGTGTGTTTTTGTCTGTAATAGGTTAAGTGTAGCTCTACCCCACTTAGATTGGTTAGGAGAAGGGTTTTTGGCTTCCATGCTGTTTCCTCTCTCTTTTACTTTGAGAAACAGCTTGTACTGATTATAGACTGTTCTGATGGTTTCTGCTGCTATCTTTTTTCAGTCTTTCAAATAAAGAAATAATAGTTTTTGCTGCAAAATTAGCTTATCCTTCTACCTCATTTTACTTGGGAGTCATTTTCATTTATTATCTATTTTAAAAACCTTTAGTCTTTAAGATCCTGCATAAAATTGGATGAGCTTTCCTCCCAAAAAACAGTGCACTGCTCTTAACATTAAAGCAGTGTTTTGATTGGATTTATTGTTCAAAACTTTTTAAATATTTGTTCTTCCTATTGTTCTACTTTATATTGTAAGCAACTCCTTGGCACTCCAGGGGATTTTGAAGAACCACAATTCCCTGCTAAGTTCCCCAACTCTCCAAATCATTTTAACCAAAAAAAGTTGATACCAAAAGGCTCCACAACATCCCTTTAGAGATATGAGAGTTTTCACTCCTGAAGGACCTTGGGGACCTAAAATGTTAAACAAGGCACATACAACCTCTAAATCCCTGTCTATGCAACTATGTTTGTGGGATTAAACTAGAGCGTCCACTTCTTTTCAGTGACAGGGTCTTAATCTTAAATGCTGCTAGGCAGGTGGATGAAACATGATCTTCTCCATGTGGATTCAGAGACATAACCAGGACTGCATCTACACTGCAGCAATAATCCAGATAGACACCACTTTAAACTTTCATGGCTTAATGCTATAGAAT